TGCTACAAATATTTTCTTATATACTTATTACAAATTATTTTTCTGGTACTATAATAGTTACAACAGAATAAATGATTAGAATTAGTGAAACATACAAAACTTATTATATGATTCAGTTAATATTGTAATATATTCTTCTACCAGGTTCATTGCAATTGAGAAACATAGTGTGTAATGTTTATGACTTTTCATATTTATTAAATAATTTATTAATTCATTTTTTTTTAAACTTAAAATTTGTTTTGCTATACTATATATATTTACTATATCATCCGAAGTAAAACAGTTTCCATATATATTTGCATGCCAATATTTTTTTTGTAATTTTGTGTATATTATAAATAATGTAGATACTGCATTATAATTTAATCCTTCTCTTGTAAATGCCATATTTTTATGTAAATTATTAGAAATAATAAAATCTATTTTAAAGTTTTGAACATTAAAACAAGCTTTTATATCAGAAATATTAAAATAAATTTCATCTAATGGATTATTTGGTATAAAAAAGCCATAATGAACATATAACTTAAGACTATTATGTGCTCCATAGTTAATAAATACTTGTGATCCTGAATTGATTGATTTTACTGTAGTAATTTCATAAAATTTATTGCCACTTTCATTTTTGATCATAGATGCATGTGTAATACTATGAACATTGTGGTTGAATAAATCTAAAAAAGGAACTAAAGCTAAATTATTTGGATGTTTTATATTAACAGTCATATTTTGATTTGTTTCTATTTGGGTTGCATCTATGTACACAGCTCTTGTATTAACAATGTAATATGCCCATTTATATTTTTTAAATGTTATGATTTTCTTAAAATGTAAATTACAATGTGGACAATTACCTTTCCCACTTAAATTTAGATTATTCATAGATCTAATTAATAACTGAAAATCATTTGTTATTTTATGAAATTCATACATATAATCCATAATAAATGCTGGTAGTAGATTTTTTTCTTTTTGTGTGCAAAAATCTGGATTTGTTAGAATCTGTGGAAGACTATTAATGTAGTGATACCATTTTGAAGCATTTCCCAAATGTGATTCATATATAATAAAAACTGACAATAAGCACTGAGCACTATAATATTCAGTTTTTGAAAATAAAATATTGACATTGCTTTGAGATAATACAGATGTTGTTATTAATATATTATATGGTATTTTAATCAATATATCATTTGCTTTAATATTTTCTAATGTTTTCAATCCTCGACCAGTAACAGGAAAATTAAATGGAACTAAATTATAAACTGATAGACAATTTTTTCTTAATAACCAAGATTTAAGATGCACCAGACTCTCTTCTTTGTTTTCTGTTATTTCTTTAATATTTAGTTTCTTCTTTTGATGACGTTTTCTTGAGGTTCTACCCATTATGTAAATGTTACATCTGCAGAAGCAATAAAGAAATACTTTTAAATAAATACCTCTTTTACTATTATTAATTAACTAACTTGTTATAGATCATTTCTTTGTTAAAAATCATTTTGATATTGTAAACACCTGCTAAAATAATAACAGTGATAATAAAAATTAGGGAAGAACACTTCAAAAAAGTACTATTATAAATCCTTAATTAATGTTTATGATATTTTGTAAAAACAATATGTAAATTAAAATTATTACCCTAATTCCAAAGGCAGAATATATTGGATTACGTATGAAAATATGGGAAAAGATTCCTTCACGATAAATTATTTGTCTTCGAGATTTAATTGAACATGTTGTAAATGATTTCATCCAAAGTTTCTTTTCATTATATCCAACCCGTAATAGATGGCGACATAATATAATACTTAACATTATAGTAGAAATATTTATTCACAAATGAAGATGCAAAAATGAAATTCACAAATTAGGTTATTAGATCGTAGTAGGACACAAATTGAATAACCCACACTTGCAAACTATACTTATATATGTATTAAATCTTATACTATCTGTTTATATACAATTTATATCTAACATAAACACAAGGCTACGTGATTCGCAAAAACATGCAATTAATTGTTTTATTTATTTAAATTTTGTTTCGTTATTTCTTATAAAATATAAATTGAGTTTGGGTGTTTATAATGCATCTCTTCCTATTCTTAAGCTGATTTATTAAAATTGCATTTAACATTAAGTAAACATTAAGTCGTAGAATTTCAATAATATTTTCCTACTAATTTAAAAATTTACTTTAATGAAAAAAATGTATAAAAATTTATTTGTATACTGGCTTAAGTTTCATAAGAATAGGCACACAGTGTGAATCCGTTTCTACAACATGGTTTTCATCACTACTCTTTAGGTTCCTTAGATATTATCTTTTACATAACAAAAAGCGCACGTGTGCTGTGATATAAATTAATGAAATATATACACAAAGGTATATATGATCATATAGAACATATAACTTCTTAGTGATCTTACATAATCAAAAATAAATAACTCTTTTACTAAAAGTTAAATCACATGATATCTTTCAAGAACAGGGTCAAAAGTGAAAGCTTGAATCGTTAATCATGTGCGTTGTACCTGTTGAATGTGTGACTAATGTTAATGACGAGAGAAAACGAATTCCACGGGTGTATGTAGTACAAAAATGTCTACGAACAAAGTTATTTTTACTTTATTAAGAAATGGAAGTGTAACCAGACCAATTTTATGTAGTGAGCATAATGTGTATTGTGCAAGACAAAGAAATGTGCATACTTCTGTACAAAACCAATTCCATTTACATCAATTCAATAAGGCTGAAACAAAACTTGCAGGAAGTCAAAAACCAGATTGGAACAGGGCTGTTTCAGAAGCAGAAAAAATTGTTGGATATCCAACATCTTTCTTAAGCTTGCGATGGCTTTTAAGTGATGAAATAGCAAATGTAGCTCTGCATTTAAGGAAATTAGTAGGATCAAACCATCCGCTATTAAAAACAGCCAAGTATGCATTTTATTGTATGTTTTTTCTAAACCTACAATAATATTAATTTTTATGCACTAATATTTGTTTTCACTCATTATAGAAGTGTTATTTATAATGGACGTAATAATATGCAAGCATGGGGTCTTATTGTATTGTTGATATCAAAAGCTGCTGGTCATTTAAATGTGGATGATATGGAAGAAGATAAAGCTGCAGGTGTTCTTCATAGGTATTGCATTATAGCTTGCAGTAAAATAATTTATACAATGCTATAGCTAATTTATAACATGAATTATTATTTAGTCAACGAGCTTTAGCAGAGGTAACTGAAATGATACGTACTAGTCATCTTGTTCATAAGGGATTAGTAAATATAGAACCTGGTGTTTATTTAGAAACATCAGAATTAAATGACATGAATTTTGGCAATAAAATTGCATTATTAAGTGGAGATTATTTATTAGCAAATTCTTGTGCTGAATTAGCAAACCTTCGTAATCAAGATGTATGTATAAAGATTATATATTTTAATGCATATGAATTTCTTTTTGTAGTACTTTATCTACTAATTATAATTGAATTTAGATTGTAGAATTAATGTCAAGTGCAGTAAGAGATTTAGCAGAAGCAGAATTTATAGGACGTAGGGATAATCAAAACAATCCATTGCCTTCTGTACCACCTGAAGATCGTAATGATTATGCAGTGAAGGAATGGACTCTTAGAAATGTATTGAGTGCTGGTGCTTTACTAGGAAAGTCTTGCAAGGGTACATTAAAATTAGCAGGACACAGTAATGAAATACAAGAACAAGGTTACAATTTTGGAAAACATTTAGCATTAGCATGGCAAGCTTGCTTGGATTTAGGTCCATTTATTACAAAAGATCAAAATGTACCATTCAATCTATGTTCTGCACCAATTATGTTTCATATTGAACATGACCCATTGATTTTGACAGAAATTGATAAAGGTCTGCAATCTGTAAACAATGTAGATTATGTTAAGGTAAATATATTTAACAGAAATATTTATCATTTATTTTTTATGTATGAAATTAATAATTTTGCGAATTTAATATGCAGGTTCATAAAATTGTCACAATGGGACCTGGAGTTGAATTGACAAAACAATTACAGAAAAGACATTCACAAAGGGCAATGGAAGTTTTAAGTGTATTCGAAAAAAGTGATGCAAGAACAGCGTTGTATAATATTATAGCAGCTATGGGGGATTTCTAAATAACAATTTCAATAAAACACTAACATGCTTTATATAATTGCCCAAAGATCAGTTTAAGGACTCCGTCCTACATTAAGTTTTCCATTTTAACATATATATGGATATATAGAATTAATATATTGTCTGTATTATAAACAAATTATGAAATTCATCATTTACACCTTATTGTACATAATTAAAGTAAAAAATTGTACTCATTTACAAATATGTATTACAAATATGACAAGATTGATACGTTTTACAATAAATGTTTAAAAAAATGTATGATTTATTTTTAATATCAATTTCTCATGTGCTACTACTTCTTTAT